AAGATTAAATTTTAATTGAAAATATAAACATTAAATTTTTTTTTTTTTAATAAAACAAGCTTAAGAAATCTTGTTTTATCAGTTTCTGAGATAATTTAACTTATCAAAAATTTAATTTCTTTCAATTATATAGAATTTTGGATAAACTTATACTGGTATAGCATAAAATTAAATTTTTTATAAATCTTGAAATGAAAAATTTTGGTTAAAAATGAAGAAATTTAGCATCTGAAAAAAATAACAGGTGATATAATTTCCTTCAAATCTGGTTTTATAAAAAACTTCATTTTCTTATATATGTTAACGCAAATTTTTAATATAAAATATATAAAATTATTATTTCAGTGATTATTTTAAAATATTCTATAGTGAATTTAACAAATCTTTTTTCAAATATACAAATTACAAAAACTGCCATAAATTTTTATATAAATATCTAATCTACCCATATTAATTGCAAAATTTCTTATAATATAATAAATAATAATAAAAAACTAACAGAACTAAATTTAATAGGAAAACACACCGTGATATTCTAACAAAAATAAATTTAATCAAACAAATGTTTTTGACCTTCACTGAATTGTCGTCATCGAGTAATGCATCTAGAACAAAATTAAAAAATTTTTTTCTAGATGCATTACCCGATGATTTGTTTAATTAAAATTATTTTTCTGGAATATCATGGTGTGTTTTTCTATTCATTTTTAGTTTCAGTTTTGTTCATTTATATTACCTTCTTTACACATAAAAATTTAAAACTTTTTGTATTGTTTTTAAATATATCACACAAAACATTATAAGCACATATTAAATAATAGCAGATTTTGCTCTTTACCTACTTGACAGGATCTAATGATGCGCTTAGATCAACTTTACGAGGACCTACTTTCTGTTGAACGTTCTTTTCCCATCCAACACATGGAGGGGGCACTGAAAAATTCATTTAAAATTTACAATAAATTTTAAAATCATAGTAAACTGTACCACTTAATTTTAAAAAATTTATCAACCTTGTTGAAGATCTAGAGTGCCCAATTGTATTTTTAAAACAAGACTGTGAACACAAGACTTGAGACGATCTCTAAAACATATTATTTCCCATTCTTTTTTATCTTTTCCCCTAAAAGATAAATGAACGCGATTATTTCGAGATTTAGAGAAAATAATTTCAAAATTGAATAATTTAAAATATTTACCAATGATAAGCAACTAGAGATAACAAATTTCGTAATGGCCAGCCAGGATAGCAATTGAAAGTGGATGGATCTGCAAATGCTAAAAGTATCTGTAAAAATATTATTATTATTATTATACAAACACATTAAAACTGTCCAAAACAAAACCTTAATAAATATTCACTACCATACAAGTCCAGTTTACACAAGTTTCACTGTATATAACTCTAGAATTTTATTAAAATACTATTAAAATAGATATATCATGTCTACTTTAATAGAATTATTTCTCTGAAATATGAACAGATATCATAAAAATTTTAGGATGAATAAATAGATTTAAATTGTTAATAAAATAAAANTGGATCTGCAAATGCTAAAAGTATCTGTAAAAATATTATTATTATTATTATACAAACACATTAAAACTGTCCAAAACAAAACCTTAATAAATATTCACTACCATACAAGTCCAGTTTACACAAGTTTCACTGTATATAACTCTAGAATTTTATTAAAATATGACATAACAACTATTTAAAAAATAAATCAGACTTTATAAATGTATTGAGAAGATGGTAAAGGAAACACAACTGAATTCCCAAATTAAGTATTCGTATTTGATATGTAAAAATGAATGTTGATTCTTCTTCACGATTAGAATAATACAGTAAAATCTGTGTAAACTGGAACTGCACAGTACAAAATATTTTTTCTGGTTTCGCGGGTTTCTGTTTTGAACAGGTTTTGGTATTTTTCCTATTTTCTTAATCTTTAAACTATACTCAATAAATGTAACAGTTTGTTTTGTTTTTTTTCTTTTACGTAAATGTAAAAAAATTTAACTGGAATCACTTTGGATTAATTTGATTAATCCAAGTGATTTCAATTAAAGATAAGCACATTTGAATACAAAAAATGAAAATTATTTGATTATAAAAAGTACTCGTTGTTCCCAAATTTACACTAGGTATTTGAATATTCCTTGGGTGTAATTCTTACATGATCACTTGACAGTGAATAAGCAAATTGAGCATCAGAAATTAGTGCCATGCCCTGCTGTCGCAAATTCTAATCACATTACAGTCATATAAAAAATTAAGTTATTCTTTGATCTGACTTCTCAAGAAATTCTAATACAGTTGTCCCTCGATAGTCCGACGTTTTTTAATCCGACATGCTCAGTAGTCCGACACACCTCCCGTCAAGGTACCCGTCCCCGTTACGTGTCTGCTTGCACAGAAGCATGTCGAGATGTGAATCTCCCCATCCAATTCTTACTCGATGACACACATTTCGTGTGTTTATGTGAGCAGTTCTGTTCGAACAGTTGGAGTAGAGAATATTGTAAGTTACTGCTAGCAAAACAATGCGAAATATGTAATTATTTTCAGTAATCCGGACACTTTTGGTAATCCGACACCCCTTTGGTCCCATACCTGTCGGATTATCGAGGGACAACTGTACTTTAATTGTTTACTTCAATTAATGTAACTATCAACATGTTAATAAACTTGTTTTCAAAAACTCAGTACTAATTAGTTACTAGCTACTCCATAAAAGATAAGTTGGCAATATGTTACCTTATTCTCATTGTTTCATAAATTGTACTTGTCGCTTGTTCTCAAGAACTCAATTCTTCAAAACTCATTTGATTTTTGAAAGTTCTTGATTCCTCCCGTTTCTAATAAAGACTAATGTTAATAAAAACACTATGTTCACATGTCCCCTTATCACATGACCTTTATTTCTCTAACAAGGTTTGAAATTGTTTTCAGAATAGCTTTTTTGCTCTGCAGTGCCTGAGGCAATTTTACTTTGTCTACAAGTGGAATCCTAATTTTCTGCTTTATCCAGGTTAAATTACATTCTTTGTACCCAAAACTTTTCCATTACCTTGTTGGACAGGTTTCCAGCTTATAATAATATTTAACATAGAAAACTGTGCCATTCCAGAATGTTTTTTCCATTTAGGCAAATTAGGCATATTTCAGTTTTATTCAGGTTTCATTTTGAACAGGTTTTACTGTATATATTATAATTTTATATCATCAATAATAATTTTAATAGTGCTAATTTCAGAAAATTGCTTTACTAATCTTTATTTGTAAATTTAAAAGATATTATTCTTTTTTCTTAATATCTATACTTTTTCTTCTCCTACATATTAAAAATGGAATAATTTGCCCAAAGGATTGAATATTGCATACTGTATACATTTTTTATCTGCCCACCAGGTAGCCAGTAGATAAAACCACTGAACACTGGTAGTTGGTCATGGGTTCACACCTCACCAGGTTGGTCATGTTTAGTTTCCAGATTTTCTCCATGTTATTAACACCTCAATAGGGACCAGTTTCCCATAAAAGACCTCCCGGAAAGCATTCCCCTCGGCCGATTGCCCATGTGTCGTGTTGCCAAATACAAATAAAACCATATACATTTTTATATTATATTTAATAAAAAAATAATAATTTATTTTATTGATTTATATGAGTAATTATGCTTATTGTATTATAAATAATATTACTTTGACAACTATAATTTCTATTAAAATTAAAGACAAAGTTTGCCCAAAAGGAACCACCATTTATTTCGTGTGTTCCAGACTTTTATTTCCACCATTTATTTCTTTGGGTACACTTTGTCTTTTATTTTAATAATAATAATAATCTCCATTGGACGAAAAAGTTTACAAAACTATAATTTCATTAAATATAACCTTCTAATATATAAAAACATATTAATAGAGATTTTCAAGACAAAAAACAAATCTTTCCCTTTCAATTCTTTTAATTGATTAGCAATATATCTACTTCTAACATTAAGAATGATTTAAATGTATTACTAAGAGCATTTCAAGAAAGTGTTACAAAAAGCATTGATTTAGTGTGTGTTATCAAGGTCAAGAATGTTTTTGTTAAATGCAAAAATACATGTATGTTAGAAAACATTTTCAAAATAATGTTAACATCTNGTGGTCGGAGTCGAGAAACTTGTCCCGACTCGTCATAACCTTCTAATATATAAAAACATATTAATAGAGATTTTCAAGACAAAAAACAAATCTTTCCCTTTCAATTCTTTTAATTGATTAGCAATATATCTACTTCTAACATTAAGAATGATTTAAATGTATTACTAAGAGCATTTCAAGAAAGTGTTACAAAAAGCATTGATTTAGTGTGTGTTATCAAGGTCAAGAATGTTTTTGTTAAATGCAAAAATACATGTATGTTAGAAAACATTTTCAAAATAATGTTAACATCTGAAAGGAATTATATCAGTATCAAAATTTCAATTCCAATTTGAATTTAAAATTTAAGCTATATTCATTCAGAGTAAAATTACCCAATTTAGAAACATAACCAAATGATCGCCTTTACATACATCAGCTATAAATCTGCTATTTTTTAATAATTAATACTAAGTAATTTGCTACTAGAGGTAGATGTTAGATGTCCTTTTAACTAAATTAATAATTATAATTTTAATAATTTATTAAATAATTTAGAACCATCTGACCCAAGTTGGAGCTTGGACCTGCAACACAACTGGCAAGTACACTGCACAACAAGCAGAGGTTGTGGGTTCAAGCCCTGCCCTGGGTCAGTTCTTTTCTTCCAGATAGTTCTAAATTATTTAATNCAGTGCTTGAACCCAAACCCACAACCTCTGCTTGCATCCTGAGCAAGCCTTCGTTTCCAGATGGATGTATTTAAATTTGGATATAGCATTACGCAGTTAATCACTTCGCCAGCTGGGAGATGATTCCTACACCCACGGCCTAAGTACATCTCCACAATAGCACTCAGCTAGCTAATGTTTTACCTGGCAAGGTGTATATATATATAAGTATATTAAACAACAAATTTAAAGGCAATTGTTTGGCTATGTTTCCATATATTATCGGGCTTCAGGTTGTTTAATATACTTTCTCTATATAAGAATTATATTTAAAATCTGTTTTGATATCATTGCAATGATAAATACAATCTTTGTAGTTTAAAGTTTTATACTTGATCTAGTTTTATTGTTATTCCATAATTGGTGACTTGTGAGTGAAGTGATACAAAATTTCTCTATTACCATATATTAATATAACTAAGAATTGGGTCCTTTTCCATCTAATTTTAGTGCAGTTTCCTATCAGCAAGGATACTGCTTTTAGTATTGGCTATTTTGTATATTAACTTATAGAATGTCTCTAAACAGTGGCTTCGACAATGCTTTCAGCATCAACCTCTCAATAATCAAAAAACAAGCTATATTTCAATACATGGCAACATCCCAGTACATCACTCTTTCCTAATTAATTAATAGTTGACAAAACACCAAATACCTGTATTTATACATTCTCCTCACTCACTGTAGACTTTCATATCTTCACCAAAATGAAATTCTACTAAAGGATTGCATTCAAATCAGTAGAAGTAAAAAGTGCTGCTATAATTGTACTCAAGGAGTTAATATCGAAAGGGCTACAAGACTGTTTTAATAAGTGTTATGAATGTTGGCAGAAGTGGGTAACTGCAGAAGATACATATTTTGAAGACGGTCTTCTTTAAATATTTGTAATATTAACTTAAAACTACAGCTTATCTTTGACCCTACCATATACATTATTTGATACATTGTAATTTGTCGATATCATCTTAATATGTGAAAAAATAAATAAAATTTTAGCTTTATGTTAACCAATTAAAACATTTGTCATGCTTTCATGTGATAAATTACAATAAAGACAATGTATTATTTTTATAATATATACAGTAGAACCCCTCTAGTCCGCCCTCGGCTAGTCCGTCACTCCGGTTAATCCGACCGTGGTCGGAGTCGAGAAACTTGTCCCGACTCGTCAGTGACTCACCGTCCGTGGCGTTCTTGTGTTTGTTACAGTATATGTTTTACATTGAGTGTACAGTATGTGTACAGTTTTGTGTGTGTTTTCAGCATGTCAGGAGTGAAACGTAAACACGCTACTCTTTCATTAAATGAAAAATTAACAGTGCTATAAAGACTGGACAAAGGGAAGATTGTTTATTTTACTTTTTTCTGATAATCCGACCTTTTTTGTGTTCCGACCATACCCCCAGTCCCAAAGGTGACAGATTAGAGGGGTTCTACTGTATTTACAATTTAACAGAACAATTTATATTCTAAATACAAAAATATATTCTTCAAAAATAATTTGGAATTTATTTACCTTTCCTGGCTCTCCACTAATTATATGATAGTCTCTAAGAGGAACAACAGAAATATTTCCATCTGTTGAAACATAAACTAAAAAATAAGCTTGACAAGATAATTTTCCTATTCCTTCTTGCAATTGTTCAATCTACATAATAAGTGAAAAATTTTCAAAATATTTATAAAATTATTTATTTATTTACTTTTTATTTAAATAAAATTTATAATTAAAATAAAACAAACAAACATTAATTTAAAAAAAAAAAAATGTAAAATAATTATTTTAATGCCTAAAAATATCGACAAAAACAAAATTTACCAGATGCATGCAATATTTGTTTATTATTACAATAATTAATTATGGATTACAGAAAAATTTATTAACTATTTAATTATGGTTATAAACTGTATATTTAGGAAATAATAAGATATATATATCTGCAAAATTTCTATCGTCACTGTAAAAAAAAAACTGATAAAACTATTTTCTTTGAATAAAAACACAATGCTTTATAAAATATCTTAAACCATTTGTTTAAATTAAATTTTTAAGTATAGCAATGGCGAATATATTATTCAGATAGTAACAATAGAGGTCTATGGGGTATGGTAGAGAGACCCAACAATTTTCAAATTTAATATTCATGTTTAATGATTACTAACACAAGAAATAACATTAATACCATTTTATTTCACATAGTTCACATTTCATTTGTTTACTTTCTCATTAAGTTGTCTTCCATAATTCATACATTCTTGAAATCTTGCTTAGAAGTTCTGCACCACTCACTGTTTTAATGTTCTCTGGTATTATTAAAATTTCATCTTGTCTTCTTTCCTTCAGATTTTCAAAACTTCCTTCTATAGGGCATTCACTTTACTTTCTTTGGATATCTGAAAGGTAATCACAAATGGATAAATTATGCAGGCATTGAATATCATCATACCATAAAACATGCTGTAGAAACATTTTCTGTGATCAGATCCATTAATGCGCTCACCGTGCGAGTAATTGTCCCAACTTGTTGAAACCATATGATAGAGAAATCAATTTCGTGATGATGTAACTTGGATTTGGAAAATTTTCTAAACATTTTTATGCGGTGAATAAATTTAACTGTAACAATTTAATTATCTTCAAAGAAACTCCAATGACCTAAGATATGTCATCTAATATCAAATAGTCAGTTTTTCACTTTGATGCTACTGTGGATTTTCAGCTGCTCAGAAACAAAAAATTATTATTTGTTTACATAACCTGATATGTGAAAATGATCTTCATCTGTTTTAAGAAAATTCACAATGCCATATAAAATCTTGAGAAAAATACTATCATTGACAAAACTAGACTCTTCAATTACTGCCATTTTAAAGTATGGTAACTGAAGTCCTCATATGAAACTATGTATCTCAGATATATAAAAAAACAATATATATATTTTTCTTGTTAAACAACAGGAATTTTTTTAAATTGTTAATAATTTTATTTTTTGACAATTATATTGCATGCATATTATTTTCCTTTCAATATGAAAACGTTTTTTGAATGTTTCGTGCATAACTTAATAAAAAAAAAATTATAATTTTTAAAAACCCCATGACAATTAACATAAAATATTCATTGTGTTCTAACTATTGAATTTATTTTTTTCATCCATACCCAAAGAGTTGAAAATATAGTAAGATTATAAAGTTGTTCCGTATCAAGTTTTACATTTTAAAAATTGTGATAAGATAGCTTATAAAACATTGAGATTTTTATTTAAAGAATAATAATTTGTGTTATATTTTATAGCTAGCATATATTATTAAAATTATACATAAAAAGCAAATCTTTTTTTTTTTTTATTTCGTGAATGTCTTCGGAGATTTATTCTTCTCCCTCGTTAAATGGCAATTATTTTCAAAACATTTTTGATTTGAACATTTAAACATTAGGATATTATTAAGAAGATCAAATGTTACGTAAGAATTAACTTAAATGTTAGATTAGTTCTTCTTTTGCTTATGCTTATTTAATTTAATTTAGAAAAACTGGTCTTCCTAACATGCAAATGATTAAATGTTTAAATCTAAAATCATTCAAAACTAATTCTCATCTAAAGATTGAGAACAAATCTCAAATATTTATGAATTAAAAATACGACCTTTGCTTTGAAGTAAGTATAGTTTTGCATTTTTTAAATACAAATACTGTATTCAAATCAAAATATTATCAAATATACAGATATTAAAATCAAAAAAATTATTACATGACTTTTGATAGTACAAATAGCTAAGTGGTCTTCGTATCCCAAACACCGGAGTTCGGTCGTGGGTTGGTCGTGAGGCTGGTCTCCATGTGGCCAGCCTCGCTCGGACGGGCTGGCCACGTGGAGTTTTCCAGGTTTTCTCCATGTCTGTAACGCCTAAATAGGGGCCAGTTTCCCTTAAGAAGGCATCCCCCTAGGCAGATTGCCCAAGTGTTGCGTTGCTGTAACTTAACAAACAACAACAAATAGCTAAACCAAATTTTATTAAAATACTATTAAAATAGACATATCGTGTCTACTTTAATAGAATTATTTCTCTGAAATATGAACAGATATCATAAAAATTTTAGGATGAATAAATAGATTTAAATTGTTAATAAAATAAAAAAATAAGTGTTTTTATTTAAAAAATAGTACTTTATAACTTGGGAAAAACACAATATTAATTGCTGAAGCCAAATGATAACTAGGTTTTCAATTAATAAACTATTAAATGAAAGATATTGTACTGTAATAATTAACAAATTAAAAACTAACTATAAAAGAAGTTAAAGATCTCAAATTTAAAATTATTTCATAATAATTTTGTAACTTCATTAAATCACAATGCTTAATTTAATCTCTTAAATGTTTTTTTTTTTTCAGTTAATTTTACTTAAACGTATTTAAACTTTTATTCACATATGCAGGATACAGGATACAAACCTGTTGAATGGTGAAGTATTTGTCCAACATTATTGGCTTATCTATTATATATGAAGTTTCAGGATATCGAAGAGCAGGAAATGCAAACCAATAATAAAAATGATATTTCTTCAAATCCTATAAATTCCATTTGAATTATTTTAAAATTTCATATAAATAATGTAATAAAACTAGAACTAGTACATCTAGGCACTAAAAATCGTATAAGATATAATGTGTATTTATACCTATGATTTTTAGTGTCTATATATTTTAGCTTTAAATATAACAAACAGTAAATATTGAGATTATTAAACTGTTAAATTTCAAATATGCCTTCATAAATGCTCAAAATGAAAAGGAAAAGTTATTGGCATTCATCACAAAGCATCGAAACTGAGATATTAAAAAAAATTTACTTTTACAAATACAAAATTTTAATTATAAATTTTATGAAGGTCAAGTTAAAAGTAGATGCAGATTATGGGATGATATTGATTACCTGCCAATTTTAACTTGCAATTACAAACTCATCCAACAGCATTTCTTTCATCTAAAGTTATCAAGAAAAGCTTTAAAAAAAAAAAAGTGTGAAAAATTCTTTGTGCGCCACAGACATTCAATTTGTCATTATGATTTTTCCCTAAAACTACTAAAGACATACATATGCATGGTTTGCTTATAGTTCTATCCTGTTCATTTTCTACATGTTTTAATTGATATTATTACACACTCCTACTTAAATCTTTATCTTAAAAGCTCATCTCTTCAATAATTTCCCATCTGTGTTCTGAGAGTTATTATATAAAAAAGATTCTGTTTAGAAGCTGAGTGATAGACTTGAATTCACTTAATGCATGCTCTCAACATTAAAACTTTTTATATTTAATTTAGCATTTACTATTATTATATATTTATAGTCTATCAAATGAAAGATGAACTTTTCAAAGTCATTTTTTTAATGAACAGTTAATTAATCAACCTCATTGACAATTAACACATATAGCTCTATAATTGTAATGCTAGCTGGCTATAAACTCTTGTTCTTTTCATCACTATAAAGTAAATTTTTTGGACCAAAACAATTATATACATTTAAAACAATAGCTCTAGTTTAACTGTCCAATGTTTCTCCTTGTTCACACAACATATTCTGTTATTATTTGTCATTTTGCTAATGAAATTTAACTACAGATAACATAGACAGTACGGCACTTTGATTCATTTGCTTCATGTTTTACATTGTATAGGGTAGAAATCTATTTTATATTTTACTGAATGTCACTTATAAAAATCACATTTTTTGTCATTGGTCTCTTATTGTGATCATTTTCAAAGTTCCAAGATATTTATGCATTTTCTATGAAAAATTTGTCATTAATGTGATCAGTTTATGATGAATTACATACTAACAATACCAGCGTAAACTATTTAAGACATCTTTAGGTGGTCTGTACACCTGTAGGTTTGTACTTCAGTTCTTGGTCTCTCATAAGAGAACAGCTGCTTACACAAATGGATGGGAAAAATCTGAACTGTTGATCAGTAGCAATTTGGATATTATCAAGACCATCGCACTATACATCTACTGTCTGATTACTGTACATGTACAATACATGTGTTTAGAATGGTACATTTACAGTATAAAAGAAGCTCTAGGCCTCATCCCATGCCATTGTATTTTACAGACAGTAAGTTTTATTGTTCAGTATCATGGATAAAGTACTCAACAGGAGAAATAATGAGCTAAAACTGAATACCATTTATGCATTTTTCAAGGAAACTGAGAAAAATATCGTATAAGTAGAAAAATGCACAAATGAAACCATCTTTGAATTACTTCCAAAGTCAAAATAACTAGTCATTTGAAAAAATGAAGTCATTCTAAAGGTTAGCTCATATTGACATAAAATAATGAAAATGAATGCGAAACCGGAAAATGATTTTTATTCACGTACAAAATTGGTTCACACCATAAAATGTGGAAAGCTAAAATTTTCAATGTGTTTGACTGGCAAAGCAATTTTCAAAATGAAAAAAATTTGCAGGGTCAGAAAAAGCAATACATAACATGTGATGATATGTTACATATTATTCACTTTGTTTTTTGAATCTTCTGGCAAATCATTGTCATTGCGGATTATGCTGAAGTGACTACATAATTCACTTTTTCATTTTTTTAAAATTTTCTATTCCTAAGTGAGAAAAAAGTACTGTAGGGTATCAAAAATTATGGCATGTAAGTGCAAAATTGTATAAATGAAAAACATATAATTGGAGTATTTTATAATGGAGAAAATACCACGAAAAAAGTATTTAATGTATAATTGCAAAAGTCATATAACTGAGAAACATATAAACAAAATTTGACTGTATTTTTGAAGGATAACTTGAAGAATTTAGAATGTTATGATAATCTTCCAAAAATGTGCCAAAGAAAGGCTGCAGTCCAGTTGAAAATCTCACAGTCTTTATTGGACTTACTTCTGAAGAACAGAAACAATCTTGAAAAAATGGCACAATCTAATGAGAACCAGGACTGTGGAAGCAAATTCATTGCTGGAGAATTCAATATAATAATCAGTATCTCAAAAATTGTAAAAAGTGATATGAATTGTTTAAAATATACATCAATTACTATGTCTGTCTGTAACAAATGTACATGCACATTAATAAAAAGATACAGTGGGTGATTGGTTAATGAACATAATCCGTTCCAAGACTGTGTTCACTATCCGAATTGTTTGTTAACCGATTATCAATTTATCATAGATTTTTATGGGAATTTGATTAATCTGTTCTGGAGACCCCAAAAATAAAAAATTATATACTTTCTTACTACATTTATTTATATTTAATATTAAAAATACATATATACACAGTCTTGCATTTTTATCAGTCATGTTTTTTTTCTGTTTGTGGGGCATCCAATGTCAATTGGTTTTTTTTCTTCATGATTTTTTAGAAGTAATTAATAGCATTGTCATTGTCCCTAAGCCTATTAACTTCAACCTGGTTTGGATGCTATTCTAAGACCGTTGTTCTGACATCCTCCCACTTCTTCAAAACATCTTTACTAGCACATATCGGCATTAATCTTCTTTTTTCAGAAGAAAACATATCTCGCCGAGTTTCTTGGTGTTCTTCATTCAAGAGTTCTTGGAGTTCTTCTGCCGTCAGATCAGTTTCCATTATGAGCTCTTCAATGTTCTTTATTTCTCAGTTGTGATTTTTGTTACTCCTTTAGCTGCTTGAGTCTTCTTGATTATACTGTATCTTTCTTATATAAGATTGAACTGTAGACCTGTTCAAGCCATACTGCCCAGCAACATCAGACATCTGCCCACTCTCTACCTTTGCTATTATACTCTCACCTTTCAAAAATAAAAACTGATGCAAAACTTAATGAGTGCTCACCTGAGTCTCGTAAATAGTATAAAAAATTCTTTCTGTCAGAAAAATAAAAGGCTGGAATTACAAGGGAGAGTTTCAAAGTTCAGAG